CTCTTCAGTAAAGGTCGTTATAGTACGCGATCCTTCGAAACTCCATTGATCTGACCAGTGCACCATGTTTCTGGGGCTAATTTTTTCTGATGCGGTCCACGTAGGTGACCACTATGAAGATTTTCTCATAGAAATGATAATGTGCTCTTCAATACTAAGTTGGGACCGTTCGGTATGAACTAAGAAAAGTGTGAATAAATCCATGAATGTGGAGAAAACGAAGTGTCTTTTTTATTGCCCCCCTCCCCTGTATACGGTCTTATGACCAAGATAGCGAAGGATCCGCCAGAGAATGAAAGCACTGATCTGACAACAAATACATACATAATGACCGTTTTGGCCCGGATATGCGCACCACAGCAATGCGTGGGCCCGATTCTTCCGCGACTCCAAAGGAAATGGATTGCATGGCACATCCCAAAGAATTTAAATGTCCTCAAGGATTCACACTCTCTGCTTTTGATAGCTTGAGAGCTTACTTCAGCACTTCAACGCTTAAGAAAAATGAATGTGGCACTCAAGCTAACCTTCGTCTTCGAGGTATCCACAACAAGGATATCACCACGACCAAGCCACTGGTTCAATCCTTCCTTGGCGTTTTTGGAGGCCTTTCTGAAGATGAATGAAACTGTAGCATTTAATGATAGAATGTTTTCAAAATCCTGTAAAAGATCCGAAATTCACGCACTTTGTACTCTCCAAGACCTGCTGCTCTTGTGAGAGATTTCCACACTGGAGGAGAATAGTCCAGCGTGCTGCTCACAGTCAGGCAGATCACATCCGCAGTTTCACCAAAAATGCTGCCCTAAACTAGCATTTCGATGTGGGCACAAAGTGTTTGTCACTGGGAGCTGTCAAGGTCATCGCGCTGTGATTACCGCGAGCAGTATTTTCTCAGATGCGCGGCGAGGCAGCTGTCAGGCTTCGCAGCCATTCGCTAGCGAATCGCGCGTTTGCTTGCGACTGGCGCAAAGTCTGCCAGCTGCCCCAAAACGATTCACAACATCGCGTAGAATGATCTGGTGAAACTGAAGGGGAGGGGTGGGGTGCGGTTAAAGGAGCACATTTCAAATATTCGCTATTGTTGTTCCGATTTATGGGAGAATAGATTTTGGGCTTCAAATGTCAGAGGACTTATGACTCATCCTGACAGAAGGGCAGCGACCTTGACCGTTCTCACAAATGCACAAACTATTGTTAATGTAGGTACCACTCTCTTACCGATTTAGCAATAACTTTGGCCGTTCCTTGCCATTCTCCCAGTGGCCCTATCGTGAATTCGTGCATAAATCTGAACAATATAATTCAATATTCAACCAATTCAAGCGGCCACGACACATGTAACTGAACGAAAACACGAAAAATCGATGTCATTATTGACTGAAACGGTCACTTGGATAGTAAATGAAATAGTTTTAAAAGAGGAGCAAAACAGGGAATTAGAAGAGGGGTTGTTCTGTCTCAAGTACTCTTCCTCGATACTTACAATATTAGCTGGATTTACATTACAGCAGAAACGAGGCCCGCACGTAACGATCTAAAATGTAGGAACTCGAGTAATCTGGATCTCTCGCTCACTTTTTCTAACACGAATGTTCCCAGCTTCAAGCAAAAGCAAAAGGCGTTGCATGAAGCCGAGCCAGAACAAGATACTGCGCTGTTACACAAGTATTTTGGCCTTTTTCAAATGAGTGATTACCTTCGAAATTCTACGTTTTCGCATTATTCATATTAAACAAGAGGAACTGATTTGTTTCCCTTTTTTACTTGTTCCGCTTCTATAATTCGTATGCTAACAGGTCTGCAGACATACCTCTGAGGGAGCAGCTCTACAGAACTGTTAGGCTGGTGTCAGAGTCCGCGAATCCGTAGCAGGTTTCGCGCGGTACGCGCGAATCGCAAAAATTGCAAGTGCCGCAATTGAGCATGTGAAAACACTTATATGAAACAAATAGATCAGGACAGTCGTTCATTCACCCATCACCATCAAACAGAAATGGCGGACACAGAAATTGGACACAGAACACCTGACAGTACTGACCGAGCACTTCTAATTTCTGGACCCGTTGCGCGAATCGCGCGAAACCTGCGACGGATCGCGGACTCTGACACCAGCCTTAGGAATTGTCTATATATGTGACAGCAAAATGAATCACCACACAATCACACATAAGTGATGAACGTTATTTTCATTTCGGCACGACAACTCCTCGAGTAAGCTCTTGAGTCCAAGGTGCTATGAAAAGATAACAGCTCGAATATGCCTCGACAACAAACGAAACTGTCGTGACTTTCTCATATGGAATACGCACTAACCAGTAAGATGGGGGATTATGGTTTATAAACTGCAAATTAGGTTGGATTTCTGTTCGTGAAAAAAGAGGAATACATTTGCGAAAATCGATCAGGCATTACTCCAGTTTCCAACTACAAAGGAACCCTAGAAATGAGTTAAAACCCAAAATATTCCAACGAATGTAAAAGAAAAGTCATATTTCTACCGAAAATCATGGACCAATGTTAGACGTCAAACTTTGACATTTGCGACCGGTGCGCACCATGTGCGCGCGACGAGTTCCACGAGAGCAGCATAGTATAATCTGATTTATTTCGACACTTTTCAATGCTTATGAACTGATTGGCTCAATTCCAGACGGCGAGCGCGATCATCCTATGAACTGTTGATTGTTAATCATGATAATTGTTAACAAAATATAAAAAAGATCGAGATACTCATACAACGGCGGTCCGAATGCGTTAGAGCGAGAAATTTCCATTCGGAGAAACTACATTACTTATGTAACAAAATTTGTAATATGAAGTATTACTAAATATTCAGACCCAATGGGTGCAACTCTTCGATGTCGAACGACTGTAGGCGCAATGTTACTAAAAAGGGGCGGCACTTTGGCACACTTCGACGAACGACGATTCTGTATGTAGTCTAAGCCTAAAAGGATGGGGGGGGGCAGGGTCAACCCTACGTTGTTACGAGTAACAACGGGGGGGTCGTACCTGGTTGAGTTTGTAGGAGGGGGGGGGTCGTACCCACTTTAGTCGCTCGAAATCACGTGTGGGATTGAGGTGAAACTAAGATTTCGTGGGTAGTAGGCTGGGCGGGGGGCGCGCAGGATAAAAATTTGCCGTTTCAGCGGGATATACCCCTAAGTAGTGGGAGTATAGGTAAGAAAATGGGTTGAAATTTGAAATGGTGGAAATAGAAGGAAATTTTCGGAGATATTTACCGTTTCACAGTGACTATATATCCCCCCCGCTCGACGGCATTTTTTGGAGGAAAAAAGTGGGCGGGGTTTTGGGGGGATGGAGATGGTAGAGGTGTTCGAATAAAGGAAACAACGCTAGGGACAGACCCTGGTGGGCGAGGGTCTTTGAGGTGCGTGTCTTCTCCGGAGCTTCTGTTCTCAGCTAAACTTGTTCTTTTTCAACAGGTTCATCTGACGATTGCAAGACATCAAATCATAAAACTGTAATACAACAAAGTACTACTATTGAAATTCTCGCCCATCGGACAATAGAATGAAGAGAAAAGAAATGAAAACAAATGCTCGACGACGATGCGTTAGAAATAATCGATATGAATAATGTGTGAAACTGGCGAAATAGTTTGGAGAGATGAACAAAAGGGACCTTAGTTCCCCACTCGAACATCTTTACGCTCAATGTCTACTACAAAGGAAGACAGTACAGAGGAGGTTCTCTCACAGCGCACCATGGGCAACTAAATTGTACACAGCAGGTTTTCAAGGCCATTACAGTGTAACTAGTTTTGTGGTTACAGTTTTCTGAACCCAGGCCGTCTTTGAAATTGTGAACGTTTTTCGTCTTAATATCAATTTAGTTATGAACTGCAAAACCATTCAACTGATAGATTCGTGGCCCTTACTGTAAGTTGACGAACTAGTTGGTGGTATTTATACTGTTCAAAAGCGATGACAAGATACTAACTCTGACTCTGAATTTGGCTGCCCTCATAAGAAATCACATAAGCCCTGTTAAAATTACTCTGCTATTCCGGGAGGAAACCAAAGCCATGGCTCAACCAAGAAGGAGATT